ACAGGCTCGTACCACCATGCTCAGCTAATTTTTATATTTTTAGTAGAGATGAGGTTTCACCATCTTGGCCAGGATGGTCTAGACCTCTTGACCTCGTGATCCACCCGCCTCAACCTCCTAAAGTGCTGGGATTACAGGTGTGCGCCACTGCACCCAGCCAAGATCTAACAGTTTTATAAAGGCGAGTTCTCCTGCACATGCCCTCTTGCTTGCTACCATGCAAGAGATGCCTCTGCTTTATTTCTGTCTTGCCCTCTGCCATGACTGTGAGGCCTCCCCAGCCACATGGAACTGTGAGTCCATTAAACCTCTTCCCTTTATAAATTACCCAGTTTCGGGTATGTCTTTATTAGCAGCATGAGAACAGACTAACACAATGAGAAAAGATATTCTGATTTTCTCTTTTCCAGGAGGCAACAGAACAGCACTGAAACAAACCTTGGCGTAGGTCCCAGCTTCCTACTGACAAGGGCCCAGTGGCCGAAAACTGTCCATTAACTTTTGAGCCTCAGTTCTATCGCCTATACTGTAAAAGACTGATGGTTAGGGTCAGACCCAAGGTGTGGAAACACTAAGAATAAAGCACTATTCAGTTGGTGGCCTATTACAGTAATAATGGTCGCACTCTCTTCCCAGAGTCTAGTTACAGTCTGTCCCCTATTAAAACATCTATTTTCCATATATGTCTGTGTGTGTGTTCACCTAGGAATTTAACAAGCCAACGGTTTTTGAAGTATTCAAAGTAAAAGAGAGAAATGTTTATTAGCGAATAACCTTCCGAGCTCTGAAAGGCGAAGCATATTGTCCGTAGCAGTTTGCTCTCACCGCCCTTCTGTCTTCTTGAGGCTCAATCTCTTAAACTTAATACAACTGTGTTTTTACAACAATACAATATAGGTTTAGTTATTTCAAAACGAATGAGGTAGGCCGGGTACAGTGGCTCACGCCTGTAATCCCAGCACTTTGGGAGGCTGAGGTGGGTGGATCACCTTAGGTCAAGAGTTCAAGACCAGCCTGGCCAACATACAGTGAAACCCAGTCTCTAGTTAAAAAAATACAAAAATTAGCTGAGCGTGGTGGTGCATGCCTATAGTCCCAGCAACTTGGGAAGCCGAGGCAGCAGAATCGCTTGAACCTGGGAGGTGGAGGTTGCAGTGAGCCGAGATAGCACCACTGCACTCCAGCCCAGGTGACAGAGTTAGATCCATCTGTCAAAAAAATACAACACTCACACACACACACACAAACACACAAAACAAACGAGGTGAACGTCGAAGTGAGACATGCAGATATGTGAAACATCAGTAAGTTCTGAAATGAGCAAATCCAAGAGCTACCTCAGCATGCAATGAGCCCAGGAGCCATTTTAGATGCAGTTAAGGGTCACACTTGAACACACCCCAGTGCCAAAACATCCACATCTCCTATGTATCATAACGCTTGGGTAGAGAGAACCCTCACCCCATTGTTATTAAAAACGTATTTCCTGCATCATCTACACTGACTCCAAGATGTACTGTTACATGTCGCCAAAAAGAAAGCAGTGATGCAGATGAAACTTACCAGGTTGACTTCAGAATGCCTCGCATTTCAGTACCTATGTTTAGAGCTGCAGAACAGGTAAGATAGGCAGGGACTGTCTGTTTTCCTCACCGCCATATTCCCAGTGCAAAGAATAGCGTACATAGTAGTAGACAGTTGGCACTCTATAAATGTTTGCTAAATATATGAGTGAATGAATGAATGAATTGGGACAGATGAGCTTTACGAATGAAAGGCATGCAGAGTGATCATTTTACGACTGTCAGTACACAACTTGAACGGTTAGAGCATGAGCGCAACATTCTGTTACTTAAAGCAATACAAACATTTCCAATTTATTTTTAAAATTACAAAGCTACCCATTTATGTTGCTGCAGAACAGCTCATGTTTCAGGAAGAGTGAAATCTCAGATTTCCTTTATAATGCCTAAGACAAGATGCAAAAAAAGTTTCAGCCTGTCAACGGGAGTCAAATATCAGGTCCAGTTATTTCCAAATTTGTGTTTTGACTGTGGTGGGGCAGCGCTATGGCGGAGACCTTGTTTTCCTGTCCGTTATCACTGCCCATGATGCTCACAGTGCAGTTATTTTTTGAAGGCCCACTGTCCTCCATGCAATGTGGTGGTGGACAAGATGTACGAGTAACCCTGGGTGTGACAGGCACTAAGCAGACAGGACTCTGGGGCACTGGTGTAACTGGTCTTCGGCCCCTGCATAACCCCAGCATTTGCAAGTCCTGGGCTGGCTCACCAAAGGGTTTGAGCAAAAGGCTCTCTGCCTAGGCTGTCTTAGCCCCATACGTATTGCTTTCGGTCTTCTGCTCTTGCACAGGTCAGGACGTTTTATGGCTACATGTACTCCCACTTCTGGCTAAGAAAACAGATGGAAGCTTACAGTGTCTCTGGAGAAGAATGACACATTAACAGATAAGTAAGAAGCAATGTAGCTAAGCACTACAACAAAGACACAGTAGATGTTTTAGAGCCCTGGAGGAGTAGGGCAAGGAAGGCTCTTTGGAGGAAGTGATGCCGAACTGAAGGTGAGGAAGACATGGGATCCTTTGCAGAGCGAACAGGAGAAGCAACGCCAGAGAGGTGAGAAATTGTGTGTTGTACGCCAGGAACCACGAACGCTTCTGCTGACGGAACACGAAGCAGTCACGTGGGGCTTAGGAGGAAGAGCACCTGAGGACAGATCATGACTTGCAGATACTGGATTTCAAAAATATTGGTGATGTGGGATCAGATTTGTTTTAGGAAGATGACCCTGGGCTGGTCTGTGGAGGAAATTTGGGGGCGGGGGACACAAATGAAGTTAAGGCAACCAGTTAGGGAACATGTAGGTGCAGAAGTCTGGGGAGATGCAAAGGGCCTAAGGTCGGAGAATGTATTTCAACAGGAGGTGAAGGAGGTAGGGCTGAGGGACACTGGATGTGGGTCAGGGCAAGAGGATGAGGAAGACAGAGGAGTCCAGGACAATCCTGTGTGTCTGGCTGGAGTCTGAGTGGCTGGTAGAAACTAGCAGCTAAAAGAAGAGAAAACAGGTGGCAGAGGAGCAGCAGCAAAGAGGCTTTGGGGGGAAGAAAACGGGCCGTTTTTTGGCATTCTGAGTGTGAGGTGCAAGGTAGAGACGTCAGGCTAGCAAGGCTCACTGGAGCTGCAAGCAGGAAAGGGCTGGGTCAACAACTTAGCTTTAGAAACCACCAGCATACATGGGGTACCCCGAACTGTGCCAGCAAACAAAATCTCGTAGGGAGACCCTAATGGAATCAGTCAGGAATTCTGGTTTTCTTTCCTTTTCCACCAGAGTTCCCAGGAAAGTGTATTTTCTTTTTTGGGGTACTCGGGTGATTTCTCTTCAAAATAAAACAAACTGAGAATATCAGTGGTGGGGAGATACTATCTGCTCTTCTAAGCAGATTCTAATGTATTAATACCAGCAGCAGCTAAATCACACTTAATCTTGCTGCAGCATAAAACCTCTATCACACATTGTGGTTCATATCATATGGGCTCACTCAAGAGTTTACAAAAAATATTTTTGGATCAGGTAAGTGAAATCCTTCAACAGCAGTGCTGTGTGATCTGGCCACTGCCTACATCTCCAGCTTCATCTCATAACACTCTCCCCCTCCCCAGCTTACTGGTCTTTCAACCACTCCTAGGGGAGGGGAATTCACTCCTTCCTGCCACGGCATAGGTGGTTTCCGCCGATCTCTCTTCAGATCCCAGCTGAACATCACCCAGTGAGGCCTTCTCAGAACAGCCTCTCACGAAGAGCAACCTCCTTCACTTTTTTTTCTATTACCTGTTTTTCTTTCTTTCTTCTCTCTTCTTCTTCTTTTTGTTTTTAGAAGACAAATTCTTGCTCTATCGTCCAGGCTGCAGAGCAATGGTGCAATCTCGGCTCACTGCAACCTTGCCCTCTCGGGTTTAAGCAAGTCTACCTCCCCAGCCTCCCGAGAAGCTGGGGCTACAGGCCCGCGCCACTGCGCCTGGCTAATTTTTGTATTTTTGGTAGAGACAGGGTTTCACCAAGTTGGCCAAGCTGGTCTCGAACCCCTGACCTCAGGTGATCCGCCCGCCTTGGCCTCCCAAAGTGCTGGGATTACAGGTATGATCCGCCATGCCCGGCGTACTACCTGGCTTTCATTCCCTTCACTACACTTACACAAGGTCTACTTTATTTGCCTGATTGTCTCCTTGCTTTATCACCAACAGATCCTCCAGAGAAGGGATTTTGTCTTCTCGCCTGCAGCCCCCGCACGTAAAGGTGCTGGTCAAAGAAAGGCGGGAATCACCGGCGGGACAGCAGGGCAGCGCAGTGATGCCAGATGCCGGTAAGCCGGGGACGGGGAGAGTGTTATGAGATGAAGCTGGAGATGTAGGCAGTGGCCAGATCACACAGCACTGCCGTTGAGCTGCATCAGGGCAGCCCAGTGATGCGAGATGCGGGTCAGGGAATCCGCCCCATGTGGGTCTTTTCTCAGCTTCCCCGCTCACCGTGACTTTCGCAAGTAACAGAACCCCCTCAACCTGTTTCCTCAACTGTAAAAAGGCACTAGACAGCAAGAAGCAGTTCTGGCAGCGCGGAAACCGGAGGACACTCTCGGTGTCACGACAACGCGTGGAAGCCGCGTTCCGCGCCGCCGCCCCTGCCCCGGGCCCGCCATGTGGCGCGGCTGACCGCCGCCGTGCGCCCACCTGTCTCCCTCTGCGTCTTCACGCTGATGTACTGGCGCAGCTTCTTCACCGCCCGGTCCCGGATGCCCTTCTCGCTGGACGCCAGCCGCTGGGCAAACTGGATCTCGGCCGGCTGCATGGCGGGGGCCATCGCGCCCGCTGGGGCATCCCCGGCCGCGCAACTCACAGTGCCGCTGCCGCCAACCGTGCACCGCTGAGCCGTCGCCGTCCGCACGAGCCGCGACTGCGCAGTAGGCGGCGGTGACGCGCGGGCTGATGGCGTCACAAAGGCGCCGGCGCTCGTGGTGCGTTCTGGGAGTGAGCGCGGCCCTGGCCCTGGCGGCCGTCGTGGCGGTCTGTCCCGCGTGTGCTTGGCTCCGTCGCTGCCTTTCGATTGCCAGAATTGAGGCTGTAGACGGCGAAGTTAGCCAGGGTTAGGACTTGGCCGGGAGGAGACGGACGGATGTTGGCAAACGGTCTAGGAATTTTTATTTGTTTGACACAAGGTCTTGCTATGTCGCCCATGCTGGAGTGCAGTGGCGCGATCTCGGCTCACTGCAGCCTCGACCTCCCAGACTCAAGCGATCCTCCCACGTCGACCGCCGGAGTAGCTGAGACTACAGGCGCGCGCCATCACGCCCCGCTAATTATTATCATCTTTTATAGAGACGGGGTCTCGTTGTGTTGCCCAGGCTGCTCTCAAACTCCTAGCCTCAAGCGATCCTCCCGCCTCGGCCTCTCTGAGCGCTGGGAGTACAGGCTGCAGCCACCGCGCCTGGCCACGGTCCAGGATCTTTTTTTTTTCTTTTTGAGACGGAGTTTCGCTCTTGTTACCCAGGCTGGAGTGCAATGGCGCGATCTCGGCTCACCGCAACCTCCGCCTCCTGGGTTCAGGCAATTCTCCTGCCTCAGCCTCCCGAGTAGCTGGGATTACAGGCACGCGCCACCGTGCCCAGTTAATTTTTTAAATATTTTTAGTAGAGACGGGGTTTCACCATGTTGACCAGGATGGTCTCGCTCTCTTGACCTAGTGATCCACCCGCCTCGGCCTCCCAAAGTGCTGGGATTACAGGCGTGAGCCACCGCGCCCGGCCCGGTCCAGGATCTTTAGTCCCCTTTAGCACACCCCGTTGGGCCGGCAGCTCTCCTACGAAGTTTTTAATTGTGGAGCCTCCGGGTCCCCCCGGTGGAGTCGAGAGTGGAAGGAAAGGCCGGCACTGGGGCCTGCTGAGCGGGTGGAGAGCGTTCCTTTCGCCAGCGCCAGCGGAGCCTCGGGCAGCTCGGCACGCCCCTACCCCGGAGCCCTGGTGCCAGTGCAGGGGCGCCCGCGCCGGCGTCCCGAGGCCTGGAGAGCACGCGCGCTTCCCGGGGGAGCTGGGCAGGGCGGGCTGCTTGGGAGGGAAGAAATCAGCTTTGGGTTCATGTATAACCCGAGGCCATCCTATAGCTTGCGGACTCGGCAGGCGTTAATGGCCTAGATGACTCCAAACGTAGTGTGTGTGGGGGGTTATGTACGTTAACCCCATTCAGTTATCTGGGCGACCTCCCGAGATGCCTGTGGCCAAATTCAACCCTTAATATGAAAGCGCCTGAATCCCAGCGAGGGAAGGCGGGCCGCGGAGGCGAGTTTCCAGCCAAGATTGCCCGTTTCAACGCAGTCCCCCTTAGGGCAGCACTCCCCGCCAAGCAGAAAGGACCCCTCCGATTTTTTTTCTTTTTTTTTTTTTTTTTTTGAGACGGAGTTTCGCTCTTGTTACCCAGGCTGGAGTGCAATGGCGCGATCTCGGCTCACCGCAACCTCCGCCTCCTGGGTTCAAGCCATTCTCCTGCCTCAGCCTCCCGAGTAGCTGGGATTACAGGCACGTGCCACCGTGCCCAGCTAATTTTTGTATTTTTAGTAGAGACGGGGTTTCACCGTGTTGACCTGGATGGTCTCGATCTCTTGACCTCGTGATCCACCCGCCTCGGCCTCCCAAAGTGCTGGGATTACAGGAGTGAGCCACCGCGCCCGGCCCCGATTTCTTTCACATGACGCTTACAGCAGGGGCTGACTTTCCTTCTGCTTCGTAGATAACAAGTTTAAAATCCGGGCTCAGCCGGAAGAGCCAAAGCGCGTCCTCATCACGGCCGCTCCTCGCCCCCCAGGCGGAGAATGCCGCTCAGGTTCTGCGAGGTTTGAGCCTCGTGGCTCTCCGTTCCCGACCCCCGTGGACGCGTTCCCGCGCTTTCTGGCGTGAGGGGTCAGAGGTCGCCGCCTTCACGCAAGGAACGTAGCGCAGGGGGCGGCGGCCATGGACGAAGCGAGCGGCGCTCAGGAGGTCAGTTGGGTCGGGGAGGAGGCCCCGGCCACTGGCACCCGCGGAGCCTCGCCCGCTGCGCTCGCGGTCGGCCCGCTGTCCCGTGCTTGGGGAGGCCTGGAGACCGGGCCCCGGACAGCGTGGGCTGCGGCGGAACGGGGTGGAGGCCTGGGCGCGAGGCGACTTCGCCTGCAAAGCCGCGCGGGGGGCCGGGTCTGTTTGGCCGCGCGCGGTGGGGCCTGAGTGGCGCCAGCGCGGGCGTGGGAGCGTGGGATGGATGGTCCCTGCGCTCGCTGCCCCGCGGAAGCCCGGTTTCCCTGCGGAGGGCCGCTCCGGGACTTGGCGTCAGGCTGAGAGAGTCTGCCCCGCACAGAATGGTTTACATTTCCCTTTTCAGACGGAGTCTCGCTCTGTCGCCAGGCTGGAGGGCAGTGTCGCGACCTCGGCTCCCGCAGCCTCCGCCTCCCGGGTTCAAGCGACTCTCCTGCCTCAGCCTCCCCGGTAGCTGGACTACAGCGCGCCACCACGCCGCATAATTTTTGTATTTTTAGTGGAGAAGGGGGTTTTACCACGTTTGCCAGGATGGTCTCGATCTCCTGACCTCGTGATCCGCCCGCCTCGGCCTCCCGAAGTGCTGGGATTACAGGCGTGGGCCGCCGCGCCCGGCCTCTGGCCATGTTTCCGTATTTGTGTAGACACGGTCTCTGTTGCTCAGGCTGCTCCAACCCCTGGCCTCCCAAAGTCCTGGGGTTTCAAGTGTGAGCCACCGTGCCTGGCCTGTGTGCACTTACTGTTTTTCACATCTGCCCCCTTTCTGAAGGCTGAAGCCTCAGCTTTGAAAACGTTTATATATACATAGAAATGGAGCAGAGCATGCAGTAGGTGAAAAGGATTTGAAGCAGTTATGAACACAAGAGGCATGAAAGAAAAGGAAACAAGTTGACTTGGGCTGGTTTTTTTTTTTTTTTTTGTCATATGAAGAGAAATGTAATAAGATCTGCTTGTTCTTTTAGCACATGGGAACCAAAGAGGAATTTGTTAAAGTCAGAAAGAAGGACCTGGAACGGCTGACAACTGAAGTGATGCAAATACGGGATTTCTTACCCAGAATACTAAATGGGGAGGTGCTGGAAAGCTTCCAGAAATTGAAGATTGTAGAAAAAAGTGAGTCTGCATTTTTAGCAGTCATTGGTGGTGACTAATTTGTTCTGGTAGATTTACCTTAGGGAAGTAAGTAATTGTAAACACATTTGAAGGCGCTCGTATAGTCCTTGTGATGACATTTGGGAGAGTCCGATGACCTAAGAGAAGGGAGGTTTCCTCAACATAGTAACTTGGGCATGTAAGTTGGTGGTAGAGGAAACGTTGCCAGTTTTCTGAGCATCTATTATCAGCTTCTTTCTCTCTCTCTTCATTGGCAGAAGAAGTTTACACTCTGTAAAGCTCTGCTCAGGAAATTAAGTACTTACCGTGTAAGTTAAGGATCGTGCCATATGGAAACCTTGCATGGAGTTAACTTGTCAGTAGAGATAGCTGGAAGTGTGTTCACTTACCTTTAGGTGGATGGGTGAGTCACTTTCTAGAATTGGTTGAAGTTTAGGCTTTCTGGTGTCCGTTCAGCCTTTTGAGATTTGAGCCGCGCCGTTATAGGAGACTACGGAAGTTCCTGGAGATTGACTCAGCCCTTGGCTGACTGAGACTGAATCATGTCAAATCAGCCAAATCACAGCGTGACATTTGGTGGTTAGCCCTCACTGTGTGCCCCCTAGAAAAGGTGCATCCGGAGGGCCCAGGCAGGCCTAGCACTTGTCCATACAAGGAGGTAGCTCACCCCAAGAACATGAGTTTCTGTCTTGTGCAAATGTATCTGGTGAGTAGGCCAGCCATATCCAGTTGGAAGGGATAGTGCCTCGCGCTGTTTACATTGTCTTTGGTTTCCTCAGATCCATTCTCTGCCTTGTGGTGTGCTCTGGGAGGTGAATCCCTGCAGTCAGGGTTCCCCCAGTTACCTTGCTGGGTGCCAGTGGGGGTTACCAATGGAAGGTATTGCTGGGTGGAGAGGTTGGGTGGGTGTTTCTTCCTGCTCCCTCCGTGCTTTGCCGTGGTGGGGTGGCAGTAGCTGCATCCCTCCACAACGGAGACTCCTGTCTAGAGCCCTCTTCCACTGTCCTAGCTCTTGCTGGACTCCAGTAATGCTGTTTTCTCCCACCTGCTTCTTTGGCTCTAGGGCTGTTGCTAGTCCCTGGGTGCCTCACTGTCCCCTGGTGGTTCCTTTATCTCTGTTCTCCCCTCTGTAAGTGGTCCTCTCAGAGAAGTCTCAATATCTGTGTTGATTTGTCTTTCCTACTGGGACCCTGCCAGATATGTGCCATGTCATTGGCTGCCAAAATGTCAGGTCATTGACTTCGTAATTTCTGATTTCATGCCCATCCATCGACTTTCTGAGATGAGTCATTCCTTGTGCATTTATCTTCAGGAAAGGAAGGTAGACATACACCAGTTGCAGTGTATGGCAGCCTGCTGGTTGGTTATATTCTCACTGTAAATAAATAAACTGGCATTCTGAAAAATACATCGGGGCCTCGTGAGTTAATTAACATGAGTGTCTTTAGTGATCATTCTCCCTGCCAAAACCAAACCCAGTGAGGGCCACAAACAAATCTGTGGTCACTTGACCACAGTCAGACTTGGGGAGATCTGATCTTATAGTCCCGGCCTCCCCAATGCTATAGAGTCACCTTTTTCCATGATCTCGGGCGATTCCTGCTTGTTCTCCTTTGCTGATGTATCCTTCTCTGCTTAGCAGCCTTCAGATAGTGCCTGAGGCTCAGCCCTAGGCCCCTTCTCGCCTCGCCCCGTGGCTTCTCCCTAGGCAGCCTCATGCACACTCACAGCTTCAGCTACCGTCTTGATGCCAGTGGCTGGGTGCTGGATTTACTCTCTAGCCCAGCAGTCTCCTCAAGCTCAAGGCCGTGTGTCTGACGCCTGCCTGGCATTTCTTCCTGCTTGTTTCACCATTATTTCAAATTCTGAATGCTTGCTCTACCCTAATTACTAGTCTGAGGTCACCAGGAACAGACCCGCAGTCTGACAGAGTGAGGTTTATGGCTCTTTGCAGTGGGGAAGACCACACTAGAGCACCAGAGAAACTAGGGCATTTCAACACAGAAGAAGATAGAGCTGTTACAGGACTTGGAGACGAGTGGAATTAGGTGAGGCGTAAATGAAGCAAAACAGAGCTGTGTCTAGAGGGACCAGTATCAAGTCTGACTGTGAAGTGGACCCAGGTCCTGTTCCCTTGAAAACTACAAAGTTCAAATAGATGTGGCACATTGTTCTAGCAATCCTTACTTGAAGCTCTGCAGTGGCTGGAAATAGTCTCTTCTGTGTCACAGTGACTTAGATCCTGCAGGCAAGAGTGGAATCTTCTTCCTGGTGTAATTTCAGACAACAAAGTTTCTGACAGTCCGGAATTTCAGAGTAAGGCTTCTCAGTTTATAAAAGTTAGCAGTCACTTGAAGGAGAGATCGTTGTGACACTTTACAGTTGCACTGTCTTTGGGAGACACATTTTCTGTTCACTTGGCACCCGACTTCATCTGTGTGTGTTACTCCAACCTGACAAAAGTCAGGACAGTCTTTTGCTTTCTCGGTGCAAGCTTATTTTTACTTCCTCTTGTCATATCTGCCTCATGCTATCCATCCCCTACCCCTGTCTTACACCGGCCTGCCTCAGTCTCCCCAGAGCATCGCCTCCCAGACTAGAGACCCGGGAGGCTTCCTTGTCATCTGTCTCTCTTCCTCACTGCTCCCCACAAAACCTGCCTGGTGGTGCCTCTGATGAGTGTGACTTGCTGGGTGCGTCCTGAATCATCAGCCTGCGTCCTTCTCCAATGCTGTGTTCTGCCTCCTCCTGGCAGCCTCTTCACTGCCACTCTCCAGTCCCTTGGACACAGTAGTAGCCTGAGTAGTTCCTGGCAGTTCAATCTGATGATGCCATTCACCTGTGTAAGTCTCAGAAGCTTCTCTGCTTTTAGGATAAAGGACAAAAAGCTAAAAACCTCACCCAAACTCACCCTCATCCAAAACCCTATGTGGCTTAAAAGGCTTTGTATTATTGGGCACAGCCTCAGCCCAGAGTCACTGCCCAATCTGATGACCTAGATGTGACCCATCTTCCTTTTAGATGTCGTCATAGTACCCTGTGCTTCTTCAGACAACATGGTTTTATTTCCATTTTACTGTATCAGTTGGTGGGAGTGCGGGGCCCTTGCTGCCTGTCATTCTCTCCCTGGCTGCATGTTTCATCTTGAGGGACTACCCTGCTGTCTCTGCATGTCCTTCCTTTTTCTCTTTTTTCAGACCAAGTCTTGCTCTGTCACCTGGGCTGGAGTGCAGTGGCATGATCTCGATTCACTGCAACCTCTGCCTCCTGTGTTCAAGCAGTTCTCCTGCCTCAGCCTCCAGAGTAGCTGGGATTACAGGCATGTGCCACCACACCTGGCTAATTTTTTTATTTTTAGTGGAGACTAGGTTTCACCATGTTGGCCAGGCCAGTCTCAAACCCCTGACTTCAGGTGATCCTCCCGCCTGGGCCTCCGAAAGGGCCGGGATTATAGGCATGAGCCACCGTGCCTGGCCTGCACGCCCTTTCTAGTTTGCTGTGTTATCTCATGAAACTCACACATGCTCCAGGAAACGTGGTATTAAGAGAAAGGAAAGATCAGAGTGGACTGGGCTGGTTTCAGGAGGGTTACTGTGGCCTCATAAGGCATCTTTTATCTAATTTTGGCTCTTGAGTTCTTCAATTTGGGCAACATGAAGAAAAATAAACATTCTTCTTTTTATGAGGCCTAGATCTGATAGCCCTCCCCAAGCTCTCCTAGGAGCCTGTCTCCCTGATCATGTTGGACATGACTAAGAATGGAGCTGTACAGACGAAACCCACGATTGTGCAGTATGTCAGCTGGCAGCAAGAGCCATTTCTCATACTGATGCTTCTCTCCCATTATCCCTGTGGTCTAGTATCCATCCGTTTGCTTCTTCTGGAGGTTAATATGTGCTTTCCATCTTTTTTTTGAAACGGAGTCTTGCTGTGCCACCCCGGCTGGATTAGAGTGGTGTGATCTTGGCTCACTGCCGCCTTCGCCTCCTGGGTTCAAGCGATTCTTCTGCCTCAGCCTCCCAAGTAGCTGGGACTCCTGGCACCCACCACTATGCCTGGCTAATTTATGTATTTTTAGGAGAGATGGGGTTTCACCACATTGGCCAGGCTGGTCTTGAACTCCTGACCTTGTGATCCGCCTGCCTCATCCTCCTAAAGTGCTGGGATTACAGCTGCGAGTCACTGTGTGCTTCCAATCTTAAGCAGTGACAAAAGGCAACCTGAAGGTAGAAACGAATGGAGGCACGGAAGGAATAGGCCTGATTTGAGAAGCTTGTTTTCAGAGTCTGGGTTTAGTTCTGTTTAGATGGGTTCAGGCATAAAGTAACTTGTAAGCCAGCTAGAGGACTTGAGCTCATAGATCAAGTAGTGAATGGGGCTTCATTCCAGTTGGAGCACAGCGTCTCCCTTTGGGAGGACTGCGCAAGGTAAGCGGTGCTTTGGAAGGATACGGACGAAGGTGTTGCCTGTGAGTCTTAGGGAGTTGATGAGCACTGGGGAGAGGCATGATCCATAAGGGGAAGGGGAGATGTTGTAGGCTAGGGTGGTGGCATGTGTGACAGTCACACATGGGACTGAACAGGACTGATTGCAGGTTCATTGGCTAGTGTCTGATGGCTGCGTGGGATAAGGACTGGGGTACAGCAGAACTGGGGACAGTAAATGAGCAGTTCATAGAAGACAGTCTAGATTGTTTTTAATTTGAGGTGAGTCAGCTGTAAATTACCACACGGAAATAACCATGAAAATGATGACGAAAGTGATGTTTTCAGGGTCATGTTTTTCTGTGTGAATGGAGGGTGGCTCTGAGGGATTGGCAGAAGACGACTTAGAGCATTCGTCAAGGAACGTCTTGGGCTTCATTAGTGTCTGGGACTGCGGCTGTATGAATGGAATGGAAGGGACGTTTGATTTTTCTGGTGGTGAAGTCAGGACAGGTGGTGAAGTGTTGTGATTGACAATGGGAAGTGAGACGATAGAGATTCAGGATCATTATGTAC